GGACCAGTGGCCAGTGGGGGAGTAGTGTCCCAGCATCTTGAGCCTGCTTGCTTTGCTGTGGCTGTTCCCCCAGCTGGGACTGGCCAGAGCCTTCTCCACGCAGCCTTTTCCCACTATGCCTGCCATCTTGGACTCGTGGGGAAAATGGGCTCTAGTATTAGATGCCGAGTAGGGTAAAGGACCCCTATGAGCAGCACTGGAAGATCAGGGTCCAAGTCCCAGCTCTGCCACTTCATTGCTATGTGAGCTCAAGTAAGTTGGCTAACCATTCGGAGTCGTAACTCATCCCTAGAATGGAGACCTTAAGGGCCATAGTGTCTGTTGAAGTGCAGGGAGGGAGCCTTTTAGGATGGGGTAGGGAAGGAGACTTGCCCTCAGCTGCCCCTCTGCCTCTGAATCTCAGAGCTGTGCCCAGGGTTCTCATTCCGCTTTCTCTCCTTCCTCCCCCCAGGCCATAATGCCAGCTGAGGTGGAGGAGGTTGCTGGCAGGCAAAGACAGCAGGGGTTGGTGAGGTGACAAACACCAGCATGTTGGATGCCTCAGAGGGCCCCATTCCTCTTGTAGTCTGTGTGAACGGCGCCCCCTGGAGGCAGGCAGGGAGGGCCTTCGTGGCTATAAGCAGTGGCTCTGGCCCTGCTTTGAAGAGACATGATGAGGCACGGATGTCTCTTTCTCAGGTGGGACTGGCCAGCTGGATGTGGGGTGCTCAAGGATGCCACTGGGCCTGGAAGCATGGTGGGGGGTGTTTGGTGGGCTAGGGTCTGGAGTTCAGGTGGGGGTCTGCCAAGCGGCAGGGGACCATGGTCACTTTGAGATACCCAGCAAGCCGGAGAGGATTTTCATATCATCTCCACAGACATGGCTCGGTGTGCACTGATTCCTCAGAGCTGAGTGCAGAGAGAAGAGGCCAATGACAGCTCTGGGGACAGCTCTGGGGACAGCCCCGGGAGCCACACTGCGGGCAGGAGGAGGCGGGCATATAATTTCGCAGGTCTAGGAGTCAGTGAATGTGCTTTGTAGCGGCCAGAACGCTCCCCTCATACCCACTCCAGAGGCTCAGGGCCGAGAGTTGTGGGCCAACCAGGCTTCTGTGTCTCCTGTCCAATGGTCCACATCCTAGGCACTCCCTGCCGTGGGCTGATGGCGGCAGTGGTGGTCAGCCTCCCTTTCCTCCATCTCAGTGGACCCTGATTTGTTAGTTGTTGTTGCTTTTGAGGCATTATTTGTAGATAATAAAGCTCATCCTTTTTAAGTATGTAGTTTGGGGAGCTGTGACAAATGTGCAAGCTGTGTGAGCACTGCCACAGTTAAGATAAAGAGCATTCCATCACTGCCAGAACTCCCTTTGTGCCCCTGTGTCTTCCTCTTCCCCAAACTCCAGTACTCTGGAGCTTTCAAGCTATGTAGTTTTGCCTGTTCCAGAATGTCCTACAAAAGGCATCAGAGCATAGGTAGGCTTTGGAGCTGGCTTCTGTCACTCAGCATGGTTTCGAGGCCCCTCCTCCTTACACCCTTGTGAATGCAGAGCGGGATGCCTTGTGAGCGCATGCCACATTTTATATCCAGCCGTGTAGGAGGGCGATGCAGGCCACATGGTTTGTGTTTCTGTGTCTTGGTGGCCTACACACGTGTATCATGAAAGCAGCCTAGCAGAATGCCGGGTCTCCCCCAGTGTGCTACTCAACAATGGTTCTGCATGGCACATGGACAAACATTTCCCCCCATATTTTACCAGTCGCGAGTATAATTTAATGTGCCTTTAAAAGAATGTGTCTGGCACACAGAACCCCTGTGGTCTTGGCTGTTGGGGTTTCATGGCGAGGCCACAGGCCTCCCCGCGGGACTGCCTGCGTTCGGCCGCTGGAGGTTCTCTGTGGGAGCTGGGTGACCGTGGGCAAGCCACTCAGTGTCTCTGAGGCTCAGGGTCTTCATCAGTCATATGGGCTAGTGATATCCCTCTCTCCAGTTAGAGTTTGCCTTAAGGCTGAAACCGGTGGGTGAACATCAACTCCCCGTTCAGGGCCTGGCCCGCGGCTGTCCATATTACTAGAGGTATGTGGTCCATGGGTGCTTGGACCTGTCCTACGTGTGCCGTTTCATACATCCCTGTGGACATGAATATGTGTGTGTGCACGGTACGTGTGTAAACGTGTGATTCCTGACCCAAGGGATTAGGGAAGAAATAAGTCTCTGTCTCCTAGGGTCTGGAGTACCTTCATGTACCCATAGTTGTATGTGAGGTCACCCGTCTGGGTGCTCATTGTGTCCCAGGGACCAGGGTTTCCCTCACCTTCCTTCTCCATCTGTCTTGCTGTCAGCCAGGGTGGCTGGCCCTGTGCCACCCTTGCCCACCCAAAGTCCTCCTGTGGAAGGGAGGCCCAGGGATATGGTCCTCCCAGGGCCTGGATCTCTGGCCCTGGGTGTCTCCACCGTATCTGCCCAGAGTCAGTGTTTTCTGGGTCTTTTTGCAGAACCCTAGGACCCCACCCAGGATGGGTGGGAAGGAGAGGGAGCATTTTGAAGGAAGCTGAGGTCTTGTGGTTGGTCCATGGGTCCTGAGTGGAGGCTGGGGAGTGGCCCTGTGGGAGAGGCTGTGATCAGCTGCTGGGCTCAGCAGATTTAACAACCTGCTTTATTGAGTTGTAAGTTGTATTGACATACGTTCAGAGTGTACAATTGGGGGGGGGGTTACATATGAGTACACCCATGAGGTCATCACCACGATCCAGAGAGTGAACATATCCATCATCCCAAACATGCCCTTGTGCCGCTTGGCAATCCCTCCCCCTCTCCCCTCCATCCCCAGGTGACCTCCAGGCTATGTGTTATCACTAGCCCTTAGTGTGCATTTCCCAGATCGGGGCGAATGGGACGGGGTGTAGGTTTCTGTTTTGAAAGGAACAGAAGCCCTACAGTTACTCCATGGATTGTGTTTGCTTATTTCTTAAAAACGGGTTTATATCATTCAGCATAATTATTTTGAAATTCATCCATGTTGCCTCTCATATCAGTGGTCCATTCCCTGCTCACCAATAATATTCCATTGTATATCTGTACCACAATCTCTAATCCCTTTCCCCAACTGGTATTTTTTGAAGCCAGCAGTCATGCTGTGCCTGAGGCTGGCCTATCCCAAAGGACACCTCTCCCAGGCAGGGCACCTGTAGGTTTCCTGTAGCCACTCTTTGTCCTTCATCCCAATGGCCCCCTTCCCTGGAATGACCTCCCTTACTCTGTACTATCTAGGGGTCACCCAACCTCTTCCAGGTATCCTTCCCAGACTGACTGGGTCGCCTCTGAGCAGTTCCAACCTTCACTGCTTGGTGGCTTTAAAGGCCTTGAGCACTGTTCTGTGATTCCAGTCTTTTCTCTTAGTGGGAACAAGAGGAACTCCTCCTTGTTCCAGCTCCGCCTCCCACACGCAGGGTGTCTGGCTGGCCATGGACCATGGACGCTGGTGTCTGGGGCCCTTTGGGAAGAAGGAAGCAAAGATGCAAAGTGATGCAAAGTGATGCAAATATGGCCTGGACCAAAGTCAGGGTCTTCCTAGCTCAGGATATTGCTCTCTCCATCTCTCCTCCCTTCCTGTCTTCCTATCCTTCCTGGAAAACTCTCCTCCTCTTTAGGGAGTGGAAGACCTCTGTGAAGGCCTGATGCTGATTGAGCTTCTTACATTATTAAATCTCTGCCTTGGAGGAACCAAACTTTGACACCTCCCAGAAGGCTTCTGTCACATTCTGTGGTTTCCTACTTCCCCCACTCCATCTTCCCATCTTCCATGTCTCTCCTTCCTCAAGTTGATGGCACAGGGCAGGGCTGCCCTTCCTCATGGACAGGATACAGATCTTGGGGAAGAAATGAACATCTTTCCTTGTCCCCAACTGCCAAGACTGCGTTAATACTTCCGGTGCTGCTGAGATGTGTCTTAGAGCTCCAGCTACCCATTGTGCTGGAGCAGGGAAGTGACGTCCCTCAGGTTACACAGCCAGTGAGTGACCGATACAAGCCACCTGCCACCTCCTCCACGTTCCTTCTAATCCCTGCCCTGTCTCCTGAACACCAAACCCACATGCCTGTAATGTGCCTTCCCCTGGACCATGCCCCATCCTTTCCTCTGTCCCATTTTGGGGTGCAGTAGAGCTATCAGCAGGAGGAAGTGGCATGCCTCGCAGCCAGAGTTTCTTGAGGCTGATCCGAGTTCCATCAGGAAGCCTGGGTGCCGAGGCCCACCTGTTGCGGGCGTGGGTGGTATAAAGCCGGAGGGCGGCCTGAGGTGGAGAGGGGTGGCCCTGAAGGAGGGCAGCCATGGGCGTGGTCCCGGAGCCCAGCTACCCTGCTGGTCTCCAAGGGCAGCTCCAAGGTCACGTGTGCACTGCAGCTCAGCCTTGTCAGTCCAGCTCCATGCCCTCTCCTCCTTCTCCCCTCCTCCTGGAGGCCTTCCCGGGAAGTGACCTGCCGTTCCATCATTTCGGCATTAATCACTGTCTGCCATTTTTATCATGATTCCTGCATATGTCCTATTTCCTTTCCTCGGCTGTTGTCTTCTTGAGAAAGGATCCATGTGTGTTTCATGCCTGTATGCCCTGTTCCTAGGACAGGGCTTGGTATTAAGTAGGTCTGTAATGAATATTTGTTGAATAAAATAAAATGATGGTGGTGGGGAGTGGCAGGGCATGGTGGTGGATGTTGGTAGTAAGTGCTGATTTATCACAAAGGTGGGTGGTGGAGGGTAGATGGTGAGAAGCACTGGTGAGTAGCAGTAGCTTGTAGTCGGTGGTGGGAGGTGACAGGCAGAGGACCAGGGCCGATGGTGATGGATGCTACACGGTGGTAGGTGGCAAAGGGGGCTATGGCAAGAGATGGTGGCAAAAGGTGCCGGTGGGTGAGTTTCAGCGATGGTGGATGTCCTGGGCCATGAGCAACTTCTGCTTGCGCTCAGCCCTCTGCTGCTTCAGGGGTCTCTGCCACACCCTTGTCATCAAGGCTCATTCCTTTGCAGACTCCATCGGGGGCCCCTTCCCTGTCACCTCTCACCGACGCCACCACAAGCAGGAGCACTGTGCTCCGGGACCACCTGGCGGGGGGCTCCCAGCCACACCACTGCTCTTCCACCCGCACACCAAGGGCTCCCAGATCCTCATGGACCTCAGCCACAAGGCCGTCAAGAGGCAGGCCAGCTTCTGCAATGCCATCACCTTCAGCAACCGCCCGGTCCTCATCTACGAGCAAGTCAGGCTGAAGGTGGGGCTTCCCTCCCTGCTCTCTGTGCATCCCGGGGACCAGCAATGCCTCCCGCTCCCGCTGCACCCCGCCCTTCTCATCCTCTGTGCTGCCACTCGCGCTCTTCCTCACCTTCCTCGTGCTGGACCCTCTTACTCCTCCTTCCTCAACCTTCCCAGAGGGACGTGGCCTCAACTCCCAGAGAGGGAGTGGGGGAGGGGTGTGGCTGTGGGGACCTCCATGAGCTGTCACCAGCCTGTGGGAAGGTTCCCAGAGGAGAGAGAGGAGGCCAGCAGGGCGGCATGAACCCCCCACCCCAGGGGAGTCCGCCCCAGGTGGTCCACTGGGAAGAACGCACTCCCTCCCCGTTGGGCCATGGTGGGTGCGGGAGAGGCTGGGCCGGGCAGGGGCTGCCCTCTGAGGGTCTCTTTTCCCATCCAGATCACCAAGAAGCAGTGCTGCTGGAGCGGGGCGCTGCGGCTGGGCTTCACGAGCAAGGACCCGTCCCGCATCCACCCTGACTCGCTGCCCAAGTACGCCTGCCCCGACCTGGTGTCCCAGAGCGGCTTCTGGGCCAAGGCGCTGCCCGAGGAGTTTGCCAACGAGGGCAACATCATCGCTTTCTGGGTGGACAAGAAGGGCCGCGTATTCTACCGCATCAACGACTCAGCTGCCATGCTCTTCTTCAACGGGGTCCGCACGGCCGACCCGCTCTGGGCCCTGGTGGACGTCTACGGCCTCACGCGGGGCGTCCAGCTGCTCGGTGAGTGCCTGCTCCCCGCGCCTCCGAGGTGCTGGGGTGTGACGCTGCTCGGGTTCATGGCATGCGGACCTCTCCCCCACTGGCAGGGCCCCAGGGCCACGTGGGCACGGGGACAGCTCAGGGAGCCTTCCTGTGTCCAGCAGAGCTCACCCATCCTTCATGCCCACAGCTGGGGCAAGGGGCTCCGGGGTGGGATTCCTGCCCTCCAAGGCCCCTCAGGTTGTGCCTTTGAGCAGCATATAACCCTCGTCAGAAACCAGGCTCAAAAGACCCTCCGCCTCCGGAAAGTCATGAATATTAATCATCGACCCCACAGCTGAGCTAGGACTTGCTGTGGGCCAAGCACTTCGTTGCTGCTGTGCTCGTAGTGACCCTGGGAGGCAGACTCTCTTAGTGTGGCCCGGGGAGACGAGGCCCAAGCTCAGGGAGGTTGAGTCATTGGCCCGAGGCACTGCAGCTGAGAGGGCCAGCCAGCACTCAGTTCCAAGTGAGCCCCTGGCCCCTGGGCTGTGCAGTCCTCCAGGAGGCCCAACACCGTCCCAGTGCTTCTTGCAGGAATGGGAGTGAATGGGGTAAGCAGGGAGAGCAGAGGGCACTGGGGTGCCTAAGACTTTTCTGGCAGCTCCTGGGTGCCCAGGGTGAGTAGGGCCTCCATACTGGCAGCAGCAATCAGGCAAGGAGGAGCAGCAGAAGGCAGCCTGGGGTGCTAAGGAGCCAGGCTTCCTGGCGAGGGCGCCCGTTACCCCAAAGTTCCGGGGCTGGAAGCGGCCTTGGAGAGTTTCAGGCTTCCTAGGGTCCCACGCTGAGCTGGTGGCTGAGTTGAGACTAGAATCCAGGTCACCTGACTCCTGGTCTAGGATCGCTCTCAGCTTGCTCCCTTGTGCACATGCTGACTCTGAACATACATCAGCTCACGGGCAAAACGGCTGTGTCTCCAGGCAGAGCCGGCAGAAGCCTCAGCTTTCCTATCTATGAAATGGGTTTGTGGGACAATGAAGGGAAATTCAAGAGGCTGTAAGTAAAGCGCCCAGCACAGTCAGTGCCCGGCCTGTGCTTGCTCGTCCCAGCTCCCACCCCTGCCTCCATCTCTCTGCAGACAAAAATGCCATGGATGCAATGGAAAACCTTTTTTTTTTTTTCTTTCCCCTTTCATTGCTTTCTGGCTTCAGAGCCAAGGAACAGTGAAGCTCTTTTCAAAACACCTTCATTTGAGTGAAAGTAAAAACAAATGAGTAATTGTCAGAAGCATTTCTGTTGACTTCCAAACATCAGGAGTCTGTTTTTATTAATTAATAGTTTGGGTACTTTCTGTTTTTCAACTCCATAAAAGTATACAATCACATGGATAAGTTAAGAGCCTGAAAGCAAGCCCTTCCAGGTCTTAGTAAGTGAAGAAGGAGCCCAGGCTGCCCGACAACGAGCTGCTCTCCTCTCGCTCCGTGCAGTGGGTGCTCCTGCTGGAGGCGGAAAGAGTATTGGTTCTGCCCCAGGTGGACTCCGGGCCTCACCCTGTACTAGCTGCAGGGACTCAGTTTCCTTATCTGTGAAATAGGAGTAGGTAATAATAAATTGTTTTCAGAGTTCTTTTGGAGGCTTAAAGAGCCGAGTTACAGGAAGCAGCTGACACACTGGAGGTAGGCACTGACCGTCAGTCTTCCCCATCCGTCCCGGGGAGGGCGAAGCTTAACCCAAGTTCAAGTGAACACCCTCGGCTGATCTCGTGTCCTTAGGGCCTCACACTTCCAGGCAGTGGTCTTCTGGAGCCTGAGTTTGTGCTCCAGCTTGGACACTTCTGTCTGAGTCTCAGGCTTCTCATCTGTGAAGAGGTTGTGAATACTATGACTTAGCCCCTGGGCGGGGTGGGGTTGGGGGGTACATGTGGGAGACAGAAGTGTCTCAGCTCTAAAAAAACGTTATAGTCTTGTTGGGACAGCAGTAAAGGCAGTAGGGGCAGCATTCTTGCTTTCCCCTTTCCTAGCAAAGAATGCATTTTCCTACAGTCCCCAGAAATCAAAAATCCCACTCTGCCATTAAGGCCTGGCTCAAGAGCCACCTCCTCCCTGAAGCCTTCCAGAGTGAGCTCTCTTCTCTGTTTCTTGAGTCCCACCACATGGTGCCTGGGATTCTCTCAGTACTGAGGCATCGGCTGAGCTTTCTGGCCCATCCATAGGTCTTTCCCAAGATGGGGAAGGCTTTCAGGGTGAAACCATGTCTTACCATGCTGGATTTCTCTCCAGAGTAGAACCTTGTGTCTGGTGTGTGGAAGACACCAAGGGTTATTTGGGGGCTTAGTAGGGGAGTGTGGTGGGGAGGGCAGGTAGCTTGTTAGATGAAGGAAAGTGGTGGGGAGTGAGGTAGACCCAGCCTCGCTCACAGATAGCCCAGCCTCACTGGGAAATCAGAAAAACAAGCGCTCCAGACACCATCAGGGCATAACCCATGAGAAGACAGTAAATTGTTTAGAGCTGTGGTCATAGGATCCTTTCCATCTGTTGAGATGGTTTCCATCCAGCTATCTCATTTAACCTCAGCAGCTGGCCCTGGACAGAGTGTTTTTTCATTCCCATTTGTCAGGGAGAAAATTAAGACCCATGGAACGCTTGGCTTACCTGTGTAGGAATGTGGCGGGGCTGGGATTTGAACTGGGTGTTCTGATGCGAAAAGCAGTACCTTCTCCAGTAAACCTCCAGCAGGTTAGGTATGGAGGGAGGCAGTAAGTCAGAGGAGGCTGAGGTCAGTGAGGGAGGATGGAGTCCAGGAAGGCTTCTTGGAGAAGGGGGCTTAGGTGGGGTCTAGAAGGTCCAGGAAGGGGTAGGGAGGGGATGGTGAAGGGCACATGCTAGGTGAGATGGGTCTTCCAAACCTCTGGGGCCTAGAGACTGACCTGGAGAGTAATCTGATGGTCCCCACCTTGGGACACAGCCCAGGCAGTCTCCCCGGGCCTGGCCCTATTACCCCTCTTAGGCTCTAAATGGGTTTTCAGGAAGTTTTTTCAGTTGCACCTGGATCTTCCAGCAGGCTCCCCTGCACCTGGATCTCCCAGCAGGCTCCTCTGGGCACGTTGGGTAAGCCTGAGGTCCCAGCAGATTCCTGTCCGAGCTGTAAATCACAGTAATCCCTGGGCATTTTCAAACACTGATGTTGGTCCCTGAATTCAATTAGCAGATTAAAATATCTCTTTGTTTTGTTCTTCCTAAACTCATATTTTTTGGTGTAAAAACAAAAGAGATCCAAGATCTCTTCGGAGGTTGGCACGCTGCTCTATACCCTCATCGGTGGCCTCCCCTCTGGGGTCCGCCTGCTGCCCTATATAGTCCGGGGGTCAGTCTCCTTCCCCGTCCTCCTCACTGCCTACCCACCCCCCAACTCCCCACGGCTGGCCCGGATCCCTCCAGTGTCTCTGGCTTTCCCTGCGCTCCCTCCTCAGCCAGTTTTGAGTTTCTCCATCTCCTGAGAGGTTGCTCTCTGCCTTGGCAGCTCTGAAGACGGGCTTTCTTTCCTGAGGTGATTGCCCACCAAACCAGTGTCTCATCTTTAGGGACTTCCTGCTAGGCCTGCCCCCTCCATTCCTATCTGTCTGTGGGACCTATGGCCCAAACTCTCCAAACCCTACCTGGCCCATACCTGCTCTTCAGATCAGAGATATCTTGGGGCCACTGGCACCCAGCAGATCTGCAAATCAGGCCATGGACAGATGGGTTGTCTCCCCTGACAGAGTGCAGACAGGGGCTGGGGTCTGTGCCTCAGTGACCATTCCAGGCGGGCATGCCATCCCACCCCCCACTGCCCGAAATGAAGCCAGGCCCACCGGTGCCCCCACCACGGCCTCTGCAGGCCTGCCTCATGCCTTCCAGGCTCCCGACATGCTGGAGTTCAGGAGATCACCTCTGGCCTCGGGGTGCCCTGGCCCAAGCCTGGGCTGGGATTTCCAAGAATAACAGCTTCCTACCTCCAGGAAGAGGGACCTGCCAGCAAGCAAATAAACACAAGTTTTATGGGGTGATTAATACTTAGAGAGATAAGCTCCTATTCCAGTTTTTCAAGGTCTCCCAGCTCTTCTCAGAAATGTTGGCTCGGGAAGAGCAGCTCTGTGGGTCCTGGCACAGGACCCACAGAGCTGGTGAACCCAGACTTCAAGTATAGGGTCTTCTGATACCCTTGGGCCCCTTACAGCCTATGTACTGTGCAGAGTGGGAGGGGAGGGGAGACGCAAGAGTTGAAAACCCAGCCCCTCTTCTTGAAGAGTGTTTAGTTTAGGGGTCATCATCTAACTGCTCTGAGGTGACCTAAATCCAGTTCTTCAGGGAAATGTGACTGAAGAGTAAAACTGTGTGGCAGGGGTGGTACAGGTGGGGAGTAATCCAGGACTTTCTGTAGGAGATGAGTTTCGAGTCAGGAACCACATAAGGTGAAACAAAGGGCCTGGTTGGGGAGGAACAGCTGAGGCCAGACAGGAGGGTTGTGCTTAGGCTCAGAGGTGGGGAATTAGCCATCGGGGAACAGAACCGTCGGGGGAGGGAGCGAAGCGAAGAGGTAATTTGTGGAGAAGGGGGTATGCGCGTGCATCAAAGGAGAGAGAGCCGTGAAAGCAGAAAATTTTGTGGCTTCCATGCTGTCAAGTCTTTCAAATGGAGGAGCTGTGGCCCAGAGATGGGAGAGGGCCTGCCCAAATTCTCCCAGCCAGTCAGAAGCCAGGCTGGGCCTGGAATTCCTATCTTCCAGGCTGATTTGGGTGTAAGGTCAGTGTGAGAAGATATCACCACGTCCGAACAGTAGTGGCTGAGCTCAGGAGGGCATTAGGGGACCCCTGAGGTGGGCTCCCAAGAGCTCATGGTGTTCTGCTTCAGCCCAGCCCAGGCAGAGGCTCCCAGGTCCTGGTAACACCTGCCTACTGAGGATGGAGATGTACAGAGATGCTCGGGCAGGGGAGCTTTCGGAGAGGCAGACTGCTCTTGGGCTGGTCTGTGGGCTGGCGAGCCAGCCTGGCTTCCTTCCCTGCA